ATATGTTTCAGAACTGTTTAACCGTATGTATTTACATTGAACCTTATGGGAAAATTTACCTTGACTTGCGACCAACTCGACTTGCGACCAGAGTCACGGAACAGATTAAATTCGTAACTAGAGGTACCACTGTACTTTGTTGGTTGTTCTTCATCAGCAAAAGTCCAGTAAGGGCAACCAGATGTAACTATTTTTCTCCTTTAGCCCTGATCAAATAAACCAACCTTGTGTTCCTTCTCTGAATTTTTAAAAATACCTTTTAACACCTTCAAAAAAGTCTCAGAGCTAGTTTTCTGTTCATCAGTGTTTTAAGCCAAAAATCTTTCTGAACTTTAACCAATTTCTTTTGTATATCCAATAAGTAAAATTTATCCTTTTGTCATTTCTAAGAAAGTCCTTCAAAACTTTGACAGAACTCTTTTGTACATCCAGTAAAAAGATAATATCCAAGTTGGTTTCTTGATTCATTATTTGTACGTCTCCTTTTGGGAGTAAATCATCCATCGGTTCCATTTGTGTTCCCATATCTTCCTCCATATCTTTCTCATTGCTTAGTACATTTAAGTCCCCCTTCATAGTGATTTCAGAATCCTCCATTACAACTTGTTCTTGTTCTACAAATTCATTACAGCATGTTCTGTCATTTTTGTCAAGTTGTTTTTAATTATCTGTCAAAAATCTCAGCAGACATTCCCAAATTTGCATTATAGATTTCTGCTCCATTTTTTTTTATCCTTTAGCTCCCTCTAGCATCCATCCTTCAAAGGTCCCCTTATGATAAAAAGAACTCAAAACATTTGCCATTTTCCCTAGAGGAAAAATTCTTCTAATTAATTCAAAACTCTTTGTGGGCATTTAAAACTATAATTCCAAGTCCATCTGAGCCCTTAATCTGTTGTTAAACTTTCTAAAATCCATATTCAGAGCACCTTTTTGCTGTCTAATCCAAAAAATAATATTTTTCAGAAGTCAAATTTCAAAGTTCTTTCTCCAAGGAGAAAGAGACTCATCTAGCGAATAGAGTATAACTTGCTGTTCTGAAGGGTCCTAATCCCTTTTAGGCAGCAGAAAAAAAAAATCCAAAGTGATTAAGAAATGAGGCTCAGTTGAGTTTAATGTCCTTTAAAAAGGCTGCGTTGATGACTGTGAGCAAACATGGTTCTTCCCTCCACTCCCAGCTGCTCAACCCATAGGCAAACCATGAAACAAAATTCCTGTGGTTTACTCATGAGTAGCAGCTGTACGGAGTTGTGTGGGCTATTGCAAAGACCTCTCCTTAATCCAGCATTTCAGCAGCCAGGATCCCACATTCTGCACTGATCTCCATCACAACGCCATACCTCTGCAAAGGGGCATTCAACTTGCCATGGCTCTCAAGCAGAAGTCATCCAGATCCTTTTCACAACTTCTACCAATCCTCCCATCCTTTAATTTTTTTTTCTCCCCAGATGCAGGATTCTACATCTTTCTTAAACATCATTCTCTGGCCCGCTATTCAAGCCTGCCTAGATGTTTTGAAACTTTCTTTTTTAAGCTATAGCTACTGCTCCTAGTTTTATGTCATTTGCAAATTTGATAATCAGCCCCTCAGTCCTTTTATCCAGTTTGTTAGTAAAAATGTTGAATGGCCCAGGGCCCTGAAAAGAGCCCTGAAACATGGCCCTCAGTATCCTCCAACCTGATATACAGCCATTTATGAGACTTTATGGGTGTGATCAGATCACTTGGTCAATTAAGAGTCCATAAAACACTTGTATCATTAGACCACATTTCACCATTTTATTAATGAGAAGTTGATTGCAAATATATTTACAAATATAAAAATAACATACATTAATGTAAAGTTCAGTAGCAGCAATAACAACATTTTAGGAAGAGCAAAATGCTTAGTATTACCTAATCCATAGGTTAGCTGTTCTTACCTATATCAATAAATATAGAGTTGAATATCATGGTCTGTGAAGATAAATGCTGATAGCCACGAGGACAAATTTGGCCCAATATTGGAAAAGAAATACTTTTCTGACCATATCAGACTAGGAAACCCAGCTTGGGGAATACGCAGCAATGGCAAAATTAACAGTAGACATGCAGAATAGAAGTTTGACTAAATTTAAGAAAGAATGGCTTCCCTATATATTACATTTCACACAACAAGGCAAACTCACAGAATTAAAATATTTAATATTGTAATCAGAAGCAATTTTAATATGTATAGATAATTTGATGGAATCACTAGTTGGGTGCAATGGGAGGGAATCTAGAACTTAATACTGTTTTTACTGAGTGTTTTTGTATTTATTTTTTCTTTCATCTTTCATAAGATCATGTGCATTTATTTTAGGTAATGTCAACTAGTGGAGATATCAATATAAATATTGACATTTAGAGTTTTGCGGTGATTTACAGTTATTTATCGATATGTTGTAATGAATTTAGTTTTATATATTCAGTTAATTAATGAAATAATAATTTTTAAATTTTATGGCAATTGTAAATTCTGTTGATTTATACCAATATTTTATTTCCCATTCATTATGTCTTTTCTCATGTTTTTTTTCTTTTGTGTAGCCATTTATTTTATTCTTTAAATGTTTTAAAATTTATTTTTTTAAAAAATAAATAAATACAGCATTGGTTGTCATTCTGTTTCTGCACAGAAAAACATGTGCTTCATCTGAGCAAGAATAACACATCACTGAGGTGATCAAAGAACATACAATTACTATCTTATATGGATTGATATACTTTCTCACACTCATACTTTGCCCTTTTTTTCAACAACTCTATAAAATAGGGAAATAAAATGCCATATATTTGGCTTTATAATGTATTAGGCATTCCATTATTTTTATTGGACAATGGCATCCCAATTGGGATTCAGAAAAAAGGTATATAAAAGTTTTAACCGCGTACTGTAGATATTAAAATTGGCATAAAAATGTGGCCTTTTTCACGGTGCTGATTTAGCACTGAAGCAGGTAATTCTTTCTCACCCTTTGTGAAAGGGTGAGGGGACATCTATCTTGTCAGCTACTATTCCAGCTAAGTTGGACGGGGTTGATTACAATAGTTTCTCTCCATTCTAAAACCAAACCAAAATGATTTCTGATTTCCTGATGTAGTTCAACATATGCACCCATGAGCAGTACAACTTAGCCTTACTGCTTAGGCATTCCATGGAACGAGATAGTTTCATTTCCTAGCAATTAAGTGCAATTGATGCAAACTTGGGTTGTTGTAAATCCTCAAGCATGTTTGGTTCCTGGGTAGATCTGAAAATTAATTTCTAAATTAAATCTAAGGAGGGTTTATCCATATCATAATATTGACTATGAAGGTTATGAAAGCAGGGCTGTGCAAAATATTTGTTCTGAGAGTTCCTTACTTAAACAAAACTACCAACTTCTGAGTTTGTTTGTTTTTTTGAGCTTAGAACAAAATAAAGCTCAGAAGACAACATGGTCACTTTGAGTATCATGCATATGCAGCGCTATGCAAGGCAGTGACTTCATTGAGGATTTTGCTGGGCTGCTGGAAAAAGCCCTGTTGCTATCTACAGGCTGCAGCTGAAGCTTTGCTGGTTCAGTATCTGTCTACCTCTAATAAATCCCCTTCTCCTACCGTTGTGCTGTTTTAATTGTTTTAGTAGTGTAAGAACTGATAGGTTACAGGGGGAGGGAATACCTCTCCCTCCCAGTCCCATTTTTCAAGGTAGCCCCCTTTAAAGTGAATAGCACATTTCTTTCCCCTCCCTGAACTGAAGCTTGCTTGCTTATTTGGGAGAAAACAATTTCCAGTTAAGTAGTGCGAGAAGACTACAAAGAGTACTGATAGGATGCTTGGTAGACCGCACCCACACAAACATTTCACTTTAAAACAAAGCTGACCTTTACTACTTCTCCTCTGAAACCTCCTCCAGTTTAGGAATAGTTGATTAGTCCATCCTGTTCTACACTGTAAAGTTCCCCCCAGTCTTCCAAACCATGACTGGGAAAGGGACAACATGGTGGAGGACAGGGGTTTCAAGCACCTATTCCACTTGCCCCAACTAGCAGGCCCCTTTGCACGCGTCTTTAAGTGAGTAGATGGTGTTCTCCCTATATCACTGATGCACAGAAGTAGCAGGACTTTGCAAGCCAAAGGCTGTGATGTAAATATGCACTTCATGACAGCCATTTGCTCCACTCCAGGGAGTGTAAGCTGTAAATGTATGTTGAATTATTTGATTCTCTGAGCTTTGATATATATGCATTCTGTTTCTTCTGTCCCAGTGATGCTGAGTTTCAGAATGTGTTTAAAAAAGAAAAGGATACAAAAACATGCCCAGAATGCAGTTTCATATTAAAGTTCAATAAACTGACCAAACCAACATAGGATCATTTGAAATTAACGTTCTTATTAGTTTGCATTTTTGTGCATGCCCCTATATCAAAGTATAAAAGTCAATAATAGAACGTTTTGTGTGAAACACTTTTACTATCTAAACTTCTTTGACATTCTCTTCCACTGTAACTTTTCTCAGAAGATCACCACAGAAATGAAAAAAGGCTAAAATTGGAATGATAGATCTAATAATGGAATGGCATATTATTGTCTAATAAGAGAGCAGTACACCATAATTTCTTATAATCCAGGGATTTTGAAGGGGCATTGTGCAAGAACTACATTTCATGACATTTGCTTACTCTTCGTTTGCATATTATGCTCTTAAATTTGCAAATGAAGTTATATTTAAACTGGCAACAAGAAAAACTTCCCATTAAGTTTAATTCAATAAAAGAGTTCTCTCTTCCTTTGATCCAAGAAGATTTCCAGGATGGGACCTATGCAAAATGAAAAGAAAGAATGTTCTCAGCATATTGGACACTACAAAGACAGGCAATACGTGCACACTTTCCTACAACTCAAAAATAGCTACAATTTTTTTGTCTGATTCACATGGGAAGCCCAGAAAAGAGGGCTGCTGTAGAAAGGGTGGTTGTGTGGCAGCTTCAGAAGACTCTGGAAGAAGTGGATTATCTGGACCCCTTTTGGTCAGGGTTCAGGCCTGGGTATGGGACTGAGATAGCACTGATCACATTCTTGGATGACCTCTGGTGGGAGCAGGATGGGGGTGGTGTGTCCATCCTTGCTCTTCTTGACCTTTCAGCAGCTTTCAATACCATCAATCATGGTATCCTTCTGGACTGGCTCTGGGAGTTGGGGTGGGCAGCACAGTGTTGTGCTGGTTCTCCTCCATCCCCCGGGCTCAGTTCCAGTTGGTGTTGATAAGGGGGAAGAGATCCAGCTGGTAGCTCCGCCTTTGTGGGGTGTTGCAGAGCTCAGTACTCTCTCCCCTCGTTTAACATCTACTTGAAGCTGCTGGGTGAGGTCATCTGACAGTTTGGGGTGAGGCATCATCAGAATGCTGATGATACTCAGCTTTATATCTCCACCCTGGGCTACCTGAGTGATGCCATGGAGGTTCTCTCTCAGTGCCTGGAGGCTGTGGGGGCCTGGATGGGGCACAACAGGCTTCAGCTCAACCCAAGTAAGACTGAGTGGCTCTGGGTTTTTGACCTCCTGATCAGGGACCTTCCATGTTCGGTTCTGCATGGGGTGGCAATGCTCCAGACAGACCCAGTGGGAGGGTCCTCCTGGACTCGCAGCTCCTGCTTAAAGACCAGGTGGCAGCTGTGGTTAGGAGGGCCTTTGCGCAACTTTGGGTTGTGTGTCAGTTGTGCCTGTTCCTGGATTGGGAGACCCTCTTCACAGTCACTCATGCCCTTGTGACCTCCAAACTGGACTATTGCAATTTGCTTTATATGGGCTGCCCTTGAAGAGTATTCAGAAACTTCAACTGGTACAGAATGCAGTGGCATGGGCAGTTACTGGACCCGGTTACTCAGTGCATGTAACACCACTGCTCCGTGAGCTGAATTGGCTTCTGGCGTGCTTCTGGGTGCAATTCAAGGTGCTGGTTGTCACTTTTAAAGCCTTCATGGCTTGGGACCAGGTTACTTATGGGGCCGTCTCTTCCCAGTTGTGTCTACGTATCCTGTTAGAACTGGCAGGAGAGGCATCCTCTAAGTTCTGTTTGCTGCAGAGTGTTGGCTGGTGGGGCCCAGGAAAGCCTTTTCTGCCATGGCACCCATCATTTGGAACATCATCCCCCCTGAAATTAGATTGGCCCCATCCCTGTTAGCCTTTTGTAAGGCCTTGAAAACTTGGTTTTGTGCCCAAGCCTGGCGCCCTGGGCATGAAATAGAGCCTGTCTCCTGGCTCTGTGGATGATTGGTTGGATAATGCCTGGCTGCTATGTGTTTTATTTTTATTTTTTATTTTGTGTATTTTATTTACTTTACTGTAAGCTGCCTAGAGTCATATGAAAGTGAGATGGGCAGCTATACAAATTGAATGAATGAATGAAAATTGGTGCTCTATATTTGGCCACTTAAATCTCAAATTTGGATATAAGCCTTATCTGCAATGAAAGACTTAAGGAATATAATTAAAACAACCCACTATTTAATAATTAAGTAGCTACATCTGTGCTTGCAGGAGCCAGCAGTGGATATATTATAGCCATTTGCAACTATGCCATAGCGAATGGGGTAGGCCAGTGTTGTTCCCCAAAACAGGGCCCCCCAATAAAAGTGGTGTAATTACAAACAATTACCCCCCACTAAAAATAATAA